GTTCCTGATTGAACTGCTTAACGGCCATGATCCCAGAGATTCAGAAACAAATCTCAAAACCCAATGGCTACTGGCAGAAATGTGTCTGGTCCCTGCAGTAGGTTACCGGTGCTGGGCCAACCCAGGTGGGAATAGGTTTCATGCCTTGGCCTGTTCTCCCTGGCGGCCCGGTGTCTGTCATCCTCCAGAGGCCACAGGAAAATCAGGTTTGGGCCCTCAGTGACGAGACATGTGGGGCCTCACGGGATGGGGGTAGAGCCGGCCCTTTCCTTCCCACGCCAACAAGACCCCGAGTTGCCACCTACGAATGGCCTCTCTGGCTCCTGATCAAGGTGCTTAATGGCCATGATCCCAGAGACTTAGAAACAAATCTCGGAACCCAGTAGCTTTTGGCAGAAATGTGTCCGGACTTGCAGTAGTTACTGTCGTCAGGCCACCCCAGAGGAAAACGGTGCTGTCCCTCCGCCTGCTCCCCCTAGGTGGCTCGGTGGCTGCCATCCTCCAGAGGCCATAGGACAATCAGGTTTGGGCCCTCAGTGACGAGACATGTGGGGCCTCACGGGATGGGGGTGGAGTCGGCCCTTTCCTCCCCACCCCAATGAGACCCTGAGTCATCGCCCACAAATAGCCTCTCTGGCTCCTGATCAAGCTGCTTAACAGCCATGATCCCAGAGACTCAGAAACAAATCTCGGAACCCAGTGGCTTTTGGCAGAAATGTGTCTGGACCCCACAGTAGGTAACTGTTGCCGGGCCACCGCAAGGGGGAAGGGTGCTGTCCCTCCGCCTGCTCCCCCTAGGCGGCTCAGTGGCCGCCATCCTCCAGAGGCCATTGGGCAGTCATGTATGGACCCGCAGTAATGAGACAAGCAGGGCCTCACAGGATGGGAGTGGAGCCGGCCCTTTGCTCCCCACCCCAACGAGACCCTGAGTCACTACCTATGAACGGCTTCTCTGGCTCCTGATCAAGGTGCTTAACGGCCACGATCCAAGAGACTCAGGAACAAATCTCAGAACCCAACAGGTTTTGGCAGAAATCCCTCCAGATTTAAGTGTTAAAATTTCAGAATTTCAAAATCGCATGGCCACTACTGCAGCCATGAGACATCATATGTGATTCATAACCAGCAATAGAAAACAAACTGTCTACTGTTGCCTTTTCAGCAGATCTGAGTGTTGGGGTAAAATCCCAAACAATAATGGTGGGTCTGATGTGAAAAATATTAAATGTGATCAAAGGTGGGCTGGAGCGATAGCACAGTGGGTAGGGCATTTGCCTTGCAAGTGGTCAATATGGCCGACCCGAGTTCGATTCCTTCTGCCCCTCTCGGAGAGCCCAGCAAGCTACCAAGAGTATCTTGCCCACACGGCAAAGCCTGGCAAGTCACCCGTAACATATTCGATATGCCAAACGCAGTAACAAGTCTCACAATGTTATTGGGCCCGTTCGAGCAAATTAATGAATGGGAGGACAGTGATTCAATAAATAAAATCATAAAAAATGAAAAAAAAAAAAGTAAGTTGAAGTTCATGTCCAATCAAATCAGCTAATCATTGGCTGAATAAATAGTAGCACTCCCAAATAAATAGATAAATAAATAAAAATAAAGATCAGAGAGAAGAAAAAAATTTTTTTTTCCTTTGAGGAAGTGGACACACTGGCAGTGCTTAGGGCTTACTTCTGGCTCTGCACTCAGAAGTCATCCTGCGTCATGGCTTATTGCCTAGCACTATCTCACCAGCCCTAAACTAAGACATTTATCAATGTAAGGTAAAAGGCCCTCCCGTTGATCGTCGATTTGCTCGAGCGGGCCCAGTAACGTCTCCTTTGGAGACTTTGTTGTTACTGTGTCTGGCATATCGAATACTCTCGGTAGCTTGCCGGGCTCTCCAAGAGGGGCGGAGGAATCGAACTCGGGTCGGCCATGTTGGCCGCTTGTAAGGCGAACGCCCTACCCGCTGTGCTATCGCTCTTGCGATTGATGTTATCTGGGCAAATTTAAAAAAAAAGAAAAAAAGAAACACCCCCCCACCCAGCTACTTCATACTATCTAGCCAGCTTCCCCAACACAAGCATATGTCTCTGGCCCCTGGGTCCATTAACTTCTTTGTCGCATCTAATTGCTCTAACCATGCGCAGCATGATGCTAAGATATGTAGCAACAGTAGGCATCACTGTCATGTTCCTATATTAGAGGAAAGCTTTTAAATTTTAATACTTAATTTGTCAGTTGCAGATTTTTATATAATATGCATTCATTATTCAACGGTGATTTTCTTCTATTCTTCATTGTTTTTAATCATTAAAAAGATACCGAATTTGGTCAAATGCTATTTCCTCATTTGAGATAATTATTGAGGTTTTACCTTTAATTCTATTAATGTAATATATCACATTTATTAATTCACACATATTGAACCTTCCTTTTAATTCTGGAATCAACCACTTTTGATCAGAGGGTTAATAACTTTGAAGTGATGTTGAACACAGTTTATCAGTACTCTGGAGAGAGTTTGGTAACCAAGTTCTTCAAGTATATAAGCCTGCAGTCTGGTCTTTGTCTGGTTTTGATTTCTAGGTTTATTAGCTTCATAAAATGGGGTTGAAAATTTCCTTCCTCTTCTTATTTCTGCTCTAATATTTATGATTTCCTCCTATTGCTAATTTATAGTATCATTCCACCTTGATCAAAAAAGGTATTTTGTATGATTAAAATCTTAAACTTGTCAAAGAACTTTTTTGATATCTCATATATCTTGGAGAATGTACCATGTGAACAAGAATACTACTCCTCAGTGGAATGTTTCAAATGTCCATTAGGTTCTCTATGCTGTTCGGGTCTCTCAAAGAGGAATCAAAGGAGCTATGCTTGGAGTGTCATGCTTCACTCAAATGAGAGAAAGAATCCAGAGTTCTGACCTCCGTCAACACTCAAGATCAGGGACACTGTCTCGTTTGCCAAGGCATCGACAATCAGATGGGCTGGACATGTAATGAGATTTAGAAATGACCGCCGGACTAGAGCCATTACAACTGGATTCCACGGGACATCAAAAGATCGCGTGGCCGCCACCTACGAGATGGTCAGACTTCTTCTTCAAGACCCTGATCGATCAGTTTGAGGCTCTTCATGTTCCTAGAATGAGCAGATGCCATTGGACTACGCTAGCATGTGATGGGATGAATGGAGACGTTACTGGTGCCCGCTTGAGCAAATCAATGAGTAACGGGATATAAGTGATCAAGCTGTTCAGGTATAGTACACTGCTTCTTTTGGACATGCTGCCTGTTCTGTCTATGATTAAAAGTGCTGGATTGAGGCTCAGATAGTAGAGAGGTTATATGCTTTGTCTTACATGCAGCCAATCTAGGTTGTATCTTAAGCACCAAATATGGTAAAGGATTAGGCAGCAACACAAAAGTACTGCCTAGAGCCAGAAGTAAACAGGGCCAGGAGAGACTCTGGGCACCACTGAATATGGCCCCCAAACCAAATTATTATTACTAATAATATTAATGGGCTGGAGCAATAGCACAGAGATAGGGTGTTTTGCCTTGTATGCAGCCAACATGGCCAACTCGAGTTCGATTCCTCCGCCCCTCTCTGAGAGCCCAGCAAGCTACCGAGAGTATCTCGCCCACACGGCAAAGCCTGGCAAGCTACCCGTGACATACTCGATATGCCAAACACAGTAACAACAAGTCTCATGATGGAGACGTTACCCGCTTGAGCAAATCGATGAACAACTGGAGGACCGTGACCGTGAATAATATTAATAAATTGAACTGAAAATGTGTTCCTGCCTAATCCTTCCTTTAATTCCTAATGCTTCATGTACAGATGTTAGGTACACATGCACTCAGACAGTGACTATCTACATGATACCTTCCTAGAAAGTCGATTATTTTACATTATAAAACATCTTTTTTGTGTCCTGTTTTTGATTTAAACAATATTTTGTGTTATATCAATATGTCCATGCCTTTATTCCTGATTATCCTTTGCACCCATCTTTTCAAGTTTCTATATACTCTTGAATCTAAACTCAGTCTTTGGTAAACAGCATATAGTTGGATCTTGATTTAAACCCATTCAGCTACTCCAGGATTCTTCCATCCCTTCACATTTCGGACAATTACTGAAGGACTTAATATTACTTTTGGTTCACTGTCTATGCCTGCCATAAGTATTTCTCTTCTTGCATTGCACCCTTGATGTTTTGTGTCTCAGTGATTCTCTGTATCGACATACTGATTTCTTCCTCATTTTCTTTTAGCATTTCTATATTTATTTTCTTTGTGTTCAAACAGTTTCCACAAGACACCCCACTGTTATAGCAATTAATATACAGCTTATAGAAATATAGAATATCAATATAAATTGAATATAGACTTACCAAAGACTCTAGTGTTATTTTCCCATTTGGGGACCATACCCAGAGGTGCTCAGAGCTTAAGCATGGCTCTGTGCCCAGGGAAAACCATTGGTAGTACTCAGGGGGCCATATGTAGTGCCAGGAATTGAACTTGGGTTGGGCCCGGGCAATGCAAGTGCCCTACCCACTGCACAATTGCTCCAGCCACAAAGAATCCGATTTTGAATATAAAAGCTCTACACTTTCATTTCTCTTGCTCCTACTTTACTGAAATAACAAGTTACATCATTTTTTATGTTGTAAAAGTTTATAGTTAAAATAATATTGGAGTTTTATTTATAAAACTCCACACACCAGATTTATGTATTATCGTTACAAGAGTATAGTGCAGTTGTCTATACATTGAACTTCACCACCAATTATATATTTTCATTGCTGTCATACTGAATTTTAACAACCTTCAATATTCTAAAGACCATTTAAAACTATTAAAATGTGCATCAGTGTTGTGTGATGATTATTAAATAATAACTGAGTTTCTAAGATTTAGGATACTAAAAGAACTGTGTTCTTAAAAGCAATATAGTTTTAGTCCATTATAATCTTAAGAACTTTTTATACCTACCAGTTCCTTTGCTCAAATACGGAGGCTTAAAGAACTTCACAACACCATATACATTGACAATATTACCACCCTTTAACTGATTCAGGGGCGTGTATACATAATGTGGTGATGGAATCTAAAATGATAGAAAATATGATTGTTTATACACATTAAGCATTTACGTATTGCAACCATGTAATGATCATATTCATAAAATGCAAATCTATCTTAACTACATTTCTTCCATTGAACTGTTAAAAAAAGGCTAGAGTCTTAAAAATAACAAGAAAACATACAAGCTACTAAAGTTATATAAAATGAATAATTTTTCTTGAGAATAATCTGATTGTGAATGTTATAATATATACACAATTCTACGAATTGCAGTTAAAAGATTTTGTTAACAGTACTGAACCCTATTATGACTTCAAAATTCAGGGTACTATTTTTGCTTTTTCCAGTGTGGTCATCAAGATTTTACTGAGGCCTAACAAAGTCGGTTTTGTATTAATGATATAAGAACATTAATAATGGCAATTAGAGTAAATCATCTGAAGAAACAATATATAAGTTTGAAAAAAAGTGAAAATATTTCATAAAAATATATTTTTATATTAGTCAAACAAACAAAAGGGTTCAGATATTGGTCCCATCACTGTACTACTGTATCCCTAACTGGAAGTAACTGTAATAATGGTTACCACTTTAAGCAATAAAAATTTTATTTTATCTTGCTCGAGCGGGCCCAGTAACGTCTCCATTGTAGACTTTGTTGTTACTGTGTCTGGCATATTGAATACGTCACGGGGAGCTTGTCAGGCTCTGCCGTGTGGGCGAGATACTCTCGGCAGCTTGCCGGGCTCTCCGAGAGGGGCGGAGGAATCGAACTCGGGTAGGCCATGTTGGCTGCGTGCAAGGCAAACGCCCTACCGCTGTGCTATTGGGTCACACCCAGCAATGCTCAGGGGTTACACATGGCTCTGCACTCAGAAATTACTTCTGGTGGTGCTTAGGAGACCATATAAAATGTCGGGGACTGAACCTGGGTTGGCCACATGCAAGGCAAACTGTACTATCAATCCGGCCCCAGCAATAAAAATTTTAAAAATAGGACTGGAGAGAGAGTGCATTGTATACAATATTTCTCGTGCATGAGGCTAACCTAGGTTCAATTCCCAGCACAACATATAGTTCTTTGAGCACCACCAGGAGTGATGCTTGAACACAGAGCCAGGAATAAGCCCTGAGCATTGCCAGATGTTACCCAAAAACAAAAACAATAAAAATTTATTTTTAAATTAGAACAAAATAATTAAATTGACTTTTTCAAGGAATCCGATCCTTCACACAGATGGGCAATCTTCTTAGACTTTGATATTGAAAGAACTTGTAGTGCACCAATGATAAAAACCACCACTCACTATTCGCAGATGACATGATACTACACTTAGAGAACCCTAAAACCTCTACCAAGAAACTCCTAGAAACAATAGGCTTGTATAGTAAAGTGGCAGGCTATAAAATCAATACCCAAAAATCCATGGCATTCCTATACGCAAATAGTGAAAGAGAAGCAAGTGACATCAAGAAAACAATCCCATTCACAATTGTGCCCCAGAAAATCAAGTATCTAGGAATCAGCTTAACTAAGGAAGTAAAGGACCTGTACAAAGAAAACTACAAAATGCTACTTCAGGAAATAAAAGAGGACACGAGGAAATGGAAAAATATCCCCTGTTCATGGATGGGAAGAATCAACATCATCAAAATGGCAATACTTCCCAAAGCACTGTACAAATTCAATGCAATCCCTATAAGGATACCCATGACATTCTTCAAAGAAATGGAGCAAACACTCCTGAAATTTATATGGAACAATAAGCCCCCACGAATAGCTAAAGCAATTCTTGGGAAAAAGAAAATGGGAGGAATCAACCTCCCTAACTTCAAACTCTACTACAAGGCAGTAATAATTAAAACAGCATGGTACTGGAACAAAAGCAGAGCTGCAGACCAATGGAACAGAGTTGAATATACTGACATTTCCTCCCAAACATATAATCATCTAATTTTTGATAAGGGGGCAAGAAAAGTGAAATGGAGCAGGGAAAGCCTCTTCAACAAACTGTGCTGGCAAAATTGGACGGCTACATGCAAAAAAGTGGGCTCAGATCTCTGCCTAACACCATGCACAAAAGTAAGATCAAAATGGATTTATGACCTCAACATCAGACCAGAATCCATAATGTTTATTGAAGACAAAGTCGGCAAAACTCTCCATGATATTGAAGCTAATGGTATCTTCAAAGATGTCACGCCACTGGCCGAGCAAGTGAAAACAGAGATAGACAAATGGGACTATCTTAAACTAAGAAGCTTCTGCACCTCAAAAGAAACATTGACCAAAATACAAAGACAGCCTACAGAATGGGAAAGGATATTCACCAAGTACACATCCGACAAGGGGTTGATCTCAAGGATATACAAGGTACTGGTTAAACTCCACAAGAAGAAATCACCCAACCCCATCAAAAAATGGGGTGAGGAAATGAACAGAAACTTTCGCAAAGAAGAAATTCGAATGGCAAAAAGGCACATGAGAAAATGCTCTACATCACTAATCATCAGAGAGATGCAGATCAAAACCACAATGAGATATCATTTCACACCACAGAGACTGGCCCACATCCACAAGAACAAAAGCAACCGGTGCTGGCGCGGATGTGGCGAGAAAGGGACCCTCCTTCACTGCTGGTGGGAATGCAAGCTGGTCCAACCCTTTTGGAAAACAGTATGGACGACTCTCAAAAAATTAGAATTTGATCTGCCATTTGACCCAGCTATAGCACTCCTGGGAATATATCCCAGAGAGGCAAAAAGGTATAGTCGAAGTGACATCTGCAATTGTTTGTTCATTGCAGCACTCTTTACAATAGCCAGAATCTGGAAAAAACCTGAGTGCCCAAGAACAGATGACTGGTTAAAGAAACTTTGGTACATTTACACAATGAAGTACTATGTAGCTGTTAGAAAAGATGAAGTTATGAAATTTACATACAAGTGGTACTACATGGAAAGTATCATGTTAAGCGAAATGAGTCAGAAAGAGCGGGATAGACACAGAAAGATTGCATTCATAAAGCAACAAAAAGGGAGAGTAACACCCAGGAATGGCTGAGATTAGTACCAGGAATTTTGCTCCATGAATGGAAGGCCAGCCACAGGCTCTAGGTGAAAAGGAAGCTCAGATAGAGAAGAGAGTACCAAATGAAGGGTGTTGTGAGGGTCCTTCCAGGGTGGGAGAAGCATGCTAAAAGTAGTCGATAGACCAAACATGATTGCCACTCAAAGCCTCTCTTGCAAAACACAGTACCCAAAAGAAGAGAGAGAGAACAAGGGGGAATACCCTGCCACAGAGGCAGGATGGGACGGGGGGGGGGGGGGGGGGATGAGGATGGGGGGGGGGATGCTGGGACCCATGGGGATGGATGACGGGCACTGGTGGAGGGATGGGCACTTGATCATTGTATAACTGAAACCCAAGCACAAAATTTGTAAGCCTATAACTGTACCTCATGGTTTTTCACTAATAAAAAAAGAAAAAAAAAAAAACCACCACCACCACCAAAAACCATTTGGGGCAAAACAGAGAGAGAGAGAGAGAGAGAGAGAGAGAGAGAGAGAGAGAGAGAGAGAGAGAGAGAGAGAGAGAGAATATACTTTACCAACAAAATTAAGGCATTTAATAGACTATGCTTTATTTTGGTTTATGTTGGGAGGTCTCAACCAAGAGTGCCCTCGGGTTAGTTCCAGGTTGGTGCTCAGAAGAATGGTGTCAGGGATTGAATCCAAGACGCCACTACCCAACACACTATTTCTTTAAATTATATCCCCATCCCCAATATACTATATGAACAAGTGTTTCCTCAGGGAAGAAATGAATAGGGCTGTCATCAAAGTTTTATGTCCCTAACTATTATAGCCACATATAATCATCATAATCACCCAGTACTTCCTGAAACTATAAAACGGGTCAAAGATATATATACATATATGTACATATCTGTAAAGGTGTAAGTGTATGTACACATCTTCTACATTAAAATGAATGTGAACTTACCAAAGACATTGATTCTGTTGAAAAATCTTTCACAGCTTTAACATAAACCTAAAAAACAAAAGATCTAATTGTATACAAATGACTTACAATGTAATAACGGATCTTTAGTTGCAGTAAAACTATGCATATAAATGTAATGTTCAAATTCATTATAATAGCATAAAGTTGCAGCTTACAAAACAGCAACAAAAAATAAAAACATTATGTGTAAAGTTGTCTAAGCTTTCATCTAACTCCTTAATTTTAATTGCATCAGAACACCCCTAGGCCAGGTCTGAAGTATCAAACAAGTCTTTAAGATTTCATTAACAATAACTATCATTAAGGAAATTTTCTTCGCTACTTGGAGTAATTCTAAACATAAAGCCAAAAGAGAACTGATTTTCAAGTTTTAAATACCAGTTATATCATCAGACTAAATAATTCATCTGCAGATTTACAGAAATATTACTTCTACATCTATGCTATTACTTTAGTTCAGTAAAAGCACAGTTATTAGACTAAGAGTTATATACATACATAAACGGTTGATGGCAAATCCTCAAATGCTTTCAAAACTAAGTCTGTTTTTCCATCACTGCATGAAGAGGATCCTGACAAAACAATAAATCCGGCCACTGCAATGGTATCCTATAGAACAAAGAAATAATAATTTTTAATGATCATAGGATCTATCACTCTGCATGCCAGACACCCTTATATTTATTATTTTTTAAAACAGGAATTATTTCTATAAAAATAAAAACTGATTAGCCTGAATTTGCTTAAGGCTTCTAAATATAAAATATGACATCCCCTCCTCTAAAAAAATGTACTCAGTCAGTTATTTGAATGCCTGACTTTATGAACCTGGAAAATACTAAATCACTTAGAAAGAAATGTATTTTTGGCTTTCAGACCACATCAGGCAGTGCTCATGACTTATTCCAGGCCCTGTGGTTGAGGATCACTCCTGAGCTGGGGGGAGGGAGTTATATAAAGTTCCGGTGCTCAAACCCTAGTCAACCGCACTCAAGGTAATTGCCCAACATTCTGTACTATATTTCCAGCCTTCACTTAGAGATTTCTTTTAATGGAATTTAAAAACCCAATGCTTATCTCAATTTATCTGACTACATTTGCATGGATAACATAAATGAAGAAATAATAATGACCCAAAAGTATTAAAAGTGAACCTATATAAAACCAAATCTCAGAGTTAAAATAATGGTGAGAATGAACGTGTCATTGACGCTAAATCTCCACATTGTTATAAAGCTTATATGCGTGCATATAAAAAGAAGACAATTCTATTTACATATTAGTAAAAATCAAGATGCTTTCTTTCCACTTTTGATTGTAATAACCACAAGAAGTCATTCTCCATTTTCTTCCTGCCTCTTCTGCCTCCTGTTCTTTGATTAAATTCCTCGCATTTTTTAAACATTAGAAGATACACAGTTGGCTGGAGATACAGTAGAGCAGGCAAGGTGTTTGCCTTGCAAGTGGCAGAATTAGGTTAGACTCCTGGCATCCCATAGAGCACTGCCATGAGTTGTTCCTGAGTAGAGAACCAAAAGTAACCCTTGAGCATAGTCCAGTATGTATGGCCAACAGACAAACACAAGCAAACAAACAAACAAATGAACAAAAAAAATACACGCTCAATGAATTATATCCTTTTTGTTTTTTTTTTTTTCAGCTGTCAGAATCAAAGTCAGTTCCTCCCTCACACAGGCAAAGCTTGCTTGGTTCAACCCATCATACTACCAAATAAATAGTAATAATTAAAAGAAAAAAAAAACACAATCTTTAGCAAGGGGAAATCTTCTGCTTACCAATATTTCACTTTGTACATACAAGAGTTGGGTATCAAACCCCAGGAGTCCCTATTAAGGTCCGTTAACTAGACTGTGAGCAGCTGTGGGGAGCATGGTGACAGACACTGGTGCAGATAAAACCTGACCTTGCAAAGCAGTCCAGAAGCAAAGCCTCACAAGAGAGAGTATCTGGGCAAAGTTGGCAAGAACAAAGTGTCAGCCGGCACCCTGTGTTCAACCTTGAACCTCACTCTACCTCCTAGTCACATGAGCCCTAGACACAGAAACTGTCACATATAGTTAGCAAGTTATCCTAACTGCAGCATCTAGCCTTGATTGGATTGGACCGGGGCAAAGCAGAGTTGGAGAGGTAACAGGCAAATAATGCTAAACTTTCTGTGATTGGACCATCCTCTTAAGCAGAGACCCCATATAAAATATGTGTGTATGTGGCAATAAAGTGAACAGCCATCAGCTGCTCCTGGAGGGTGTTTCTCCGAGCGCCTGTTATCCTTCGCCCCACATCTCCCCAGACCCGGTGTGCAACGTGTCCAGGCACTGTTGGAGGGAAAACTGTTTCCCAACACAGCTGGAAGTAAGGGGTCTTATATCACTCTGGTTTGTGTTCAAGTAGCACAAGGAGACAGGCCCTGCATAAATAAGTGACATATGTCTTTGCACACTGCCAACCCTCATTCAATCCCCAGCACCACGTATGGTTTCCTGAGCACTGCCAGGATTTATCCCTAAGCACAGATAGACCTAGGAGTAAGTACTGAGCACTGTGGCTCAAAGCTCTCCCCCGGGCCTCCCTCCAAGTCCTATCAAATAAAACCACAAAGGATCTATAAATGAAAGGATTTGATACTGCATTTCTAAAATCTCTGGTCCTGTACAGATACTTTAGCTCTGCAAATTTCTTCATGTGAATGCAACATAATTTAACCTATGGTGACAATTCTAAATAATCAAAGATACATGGGAAAAAGTTTTCCTTCTCAACTGAACATATGCTGTTTCTCCCATGTTTTTAAGGGTGATAAAATAAGGTAAGATTTACTTAACAACTAGAATAAATCATTTCTACGAACTGAAAAAATAAGCAATGCTTTCAGTTTACTTCAGAAGATTGATCTAAATGAGAACTTAAGATTTTAGATACATTTAAAATTGTTCAATCAAACCAATACAAAAGATGAAATGAAAGTAGTAAAGTCATTGGTTCATTCATTCTAAATTCTAAATAAATGAAGCACACACACATCTTGTTTCTTAAACACACACACATATATGTGTATATATATACACATATACATACGTCACACACAAATACATGGAAAGAAATACATTAATGCCAAGTAGTAGAGGTACAGGCGTATATCTCTCTTAATTTTCGGTATAATTTCAGCATTTTTAGAATGAGTTTTTTTTTTATGACGGAGAAAACTAAAGCTGCACATTAACATTCTATAAACATAAATGCATTTTTACTGTAAATACAGAAAATATATGAATAATATAACTCACCTAGTCTCTTAAGTTTCCACCTATTTCCACTGAATGCCAAACAGATTTTGTTAACTGCCTACTACTTTTCCCACATACAACATATAGTTTTTGTTTAGTCTGTGTCTCTGTTGGATAACATCGGACTGTCCTTGCTCCTCCCACAGGGAGCTTAAGGTTTATTGAACCACTCCCACAACAGTGGCCCTGAGGCACACCCAATTCCATGAAGCACAAATAATCCTATATTGCTTTTCTCTTTTTTTTATGTCACTTGCATGATTTATTTATATTTAGCAATTTCTTTTTTGTATAGACACAGAAAGACAGTTCATGCTACGCTTTGTAACTGGGAGTTAATTGACTCCAAAATAATATTTAATCCTGGGTATCCATATTTACTTGACTTAAGCCTCAGTTGCTCTTAGTTCCTAGCACTCCAAGAGCAAGGTCCTGACAAGGGACTGGATGGACCCAGGGCAAGCTGTGAGCTACCCTGGCATCGAAATAGGACAGGCCAAGGGCCATAACATTTAACTATAAGTTAAGAGCATGGTCATGGACAAACTCTTTCATGACCCAAAAAGAAGTAACTGAATAAGGACCCTGCTGGGGTTAGGAAAAACTAACCTGGCCTGAGGACTGTGGTCTGGAATATATAGCGAGATGTCCCAGAATAGTCAACCTTTAAGCTTAATATATCTCTTACTGTGTTCATACAAAATTGCTGGAAATATTATAAGAAGTAAATTTACCAGGACTGTTTAAATGGACTACTATCTGAGGAAAGGATAAAGCAATACACTGGGGATGGATTCTCGCCCTTGAGTGGATCTCCTTGTAATCTGGAGTGCTGAACACTCAGATGAGATTTTGTCCTTCAGTTAATCTCCTGTAGGAGTGGCTTTACCTCTGTTTGTTGTTATGATAAAGTTCAATCCCACCTTTGTGCATCCCATCCTTCATGATTTCTATATAATTATGCTGTAAGGGGTAAGGGAGGGACTAAGTTCAGAATAGATTAGAGGAGGAGAACGGAGACTTTGGGTACGCAAGGACTAGAAGGAGAACCAGATTATGATGATAACTCGAAGCAGATGACTAAAAGAGGAAGAAGAAGAGCGAAAGACAGAACTTTGAGGTTTACAAGGAGACTAGGATGATGGAACTGTGATGACTGGGACAATGACCAAAATGAGGACAACTACTATCACATAGGATTACTCAGGGGAGGAGAGAAATAAACTGTCAACTGAACCAGCCTGGGGTCTGGTTTCTGTTTTCCCTTTACTCCAGTCCTTCCACCACCCTGGCAATGTGGCTCTCAGCCACCGAACACTTAGAACACTCGCATCCCATGTGCCCCAACTGTGTTTTTTCTTTTTGAAACTCACAAGTCTCCACCAATAATAAATAGAATTTTTCCCTTTGATATGTGTATAAAACCCTCTATCTTGATTATTAAGAATTTGATAACCCAGCCTCCTCCAGGCCTAATGCTGTGTGTCTGATAAGTGCATGGGAAAACCTCTAGGCTCCAACAGCCTCTTGTGACATAGTAGATTGTCTTCTTTCCAATGAATTCACCAATGAAACATAATGCAACATAATTTTAATATTTCACTTACCTCAAAGAGTAACACTGAAGGTTCAAGTAGCAACAAAGGTAAAGGTAAAGGTAAAGGTAAAGGCCCTCCCGTTGATCATCGATTTGCTCGAGCGGGCCCAGTAATGTCTCCATTGGAGACTTTGTTGTTACTGTATTTGGCATATTGAATACGTCACGGGGAGCTTGCCAGGCTCTGCCGTGCGGGCGAGATACTCTCGGTAGCTTGCTGGGCTCTCCGGGAGGGGCGGAGGAATTGAACTCGGGTAGGCCATGTTGGCTGCGTGCAAGGCAAACGCCCTACCGCTGTGCTATCGCTCCAGCAACAAAGAACTTACTAAATTTTTAGACGAGGACTTAACAACCCTTTGATCAGATACAACGATTTTCAAGTAAAATATGAAATCTTTTATACTTATTGATTTTAATATCAGTTTTGTTATCTAATCAATTTCAACTTTAGAATTGTATTATCAGTTGTGGCTTTTGTCTACATTAAAATAAATTTTAAAAAATTTAAATACTGATGAAGAAAGCGCTAGTTTGTTATACGAGAAAAGCTGAGTGAGCCATTTCATTTGCAATGAAAAAAACATTTTACTTTCCCTATTGTCCTTAATGTTCTTAAAATAATGTTAAGAGTGATGCACAGTATTGGATGATAAATCTTTGCTTACAAAACTGAGATGATCAAGCAGTGCAGGGGAGGGTATGGAGGA